AAATAAAACTAGAGATCTCAGGGTAAAGAGAAATCAGCTAGGTTCAGAAAGACAAAGTTGTATGTTTTCTCACCATATGTGAAAATTAGACCTAATGAATAAACCTATATGTAAACACAAAGAGGAGCACACACACATACACACACACTCACACAGTATATGCATATGTAAAATACCACAGTGTAATCTCTTTGAAAATTTAATAAAATGAGTGATCAGAATGTAAAATTGTTTCTGTCCAGAGTATGGGTAACAGTAGGAGTACACATGGACGACAGAGGGTAAAGGATGGTAAATATTGTCAAAATTCTTTATGCATATATGTGAAAATAGAACAATGAAACTTGTTAAAATTAGGGAAAGATGTAGAAGGGATGAGATAGTAATAGAGAAGGTGAAACAGATCAAGGCACATTGTAAGCATGCATATATGGGTATGTCAAAATGAAACCCCCTTGTACAAGTAATGGCTGATCAAAATATGGGAAAATAAATTATCTCTGAATTCATAAATTTAGTCATCTCTGAATGTCATTTCAATGTATTTATATTTTTATTACTGTTAAGTAGTTTGTACAAAGAAGGTGAAACTGAATAAAACAGTCTATGAAAACAATGAATCTTAGCACTTCAGCATTCTCACCCTGCTTTGGCCCAAGTCTTTCCTTACTTTTCTTAATTTTGTGTTACGACATCTCAATTTTTAAGCTACATTAAAAGTTATAGTTAAAAACCGTATTTACTTTAAAATGGCTATAACACATCATTTCATATAGTTGGTATTTCAAAATTGTTATATCTTACTGATTTCAGCAAATTTCCAGGATAAAGGTGAAAAAAATCTTGAATAATTCATATTGTTACTATTGCAAGAGTTCTAAGCCATGTCACAAATACCTCCACCATAAAACTCTTAGATTTGATGAAATATTTTTAACAAATTAGCTGTGGAAAAAATCAACAAGCAAATATCAGAAGGGTTTCTATACATTAATAATGAAACATAACAACAGTAATGGAGACCTGTTGTAACAAAAACAGTATGGAACAGACTCAGAGCAGTGTGGAACAAGCACATAAAATAAACCAATTAGATCACACAGTTATAGATATCTTATTCTTGCAAAGGTGCTGGAAAGACACTAGAGAAAAGCTAGCCTCTTCAAATGGAACTTGGAAAACTGGAGATTTGCATGTAGAAGACTAAAACTAGACCTGTTTCTCAACCTGTACCAATATTGATTTAAAATGGAGACAAATCTTAATGTAAGACTCCAGACTTTGAAACTATTACAGACTAATGCAGTAAAAACAACTGAAGATATAGGGTAGACAATGACTTTTTAAATAAGCCTCTAACTGCTCTGGAAACACACATAATAATTGACAAATGAGGACCAGTCATAGTGGCTCATACCTGTAATATCAATTATTTGTGAGGCAGAGATTTAGCCTACATGGACAAAAAGTCAGCAAGAAGTCCATCTCTATCCATTAGGTGTCAGGTACATGGGAACTGTAGAGTCCTGTGGGGACTGTAACTGGCTGCAGGTTATTTGACTAGTTTAAGATTCTTAGAGTATGGATACAGCCAGTAGAAAACTCTGTTTGTGTAGCTATTTATCCTATATCAAAGTAAAGACACGGATTATGAGTGTCTGATCTTCTGCAGTAATCCTGTCAAAAGATTAGAGTTCTTGTAGGTACTTATCATAGTGCTTCCTGATTTCTTGTTATGTACCTCTTAGAATGTGTCATTTTGTTTATTTTTCCATAACTCTCTTAAGGTAACCCTAGACAAACTGCACCTATAAAAGCAGGGAGTGGGGCAGACAGCTTTACCTGTCCGTTAGTATCATTCCTCACGTTATTGGTGAAATATAGGATTATTCATTGCTTGAGTATTTCTTTATCTGTTGCCCCAGAATCCACTGTAGACAAAACCAGAAGTAGGCATGTCCATAATTATGGCTATGTAGAAGCCATAGAAAGTGTGAGGGTGCATTCCAGGGCTAGCCCAAATAAGAATGAGAGTTTTTTTTAAAAAATGGAAATTTCAAACTGTCTGAAAATTGCTGAAAGCCAATTGTTCTGGAGGTGTTGTTCATGTGATAGAATGCCTGACTAGCAAATATGAGGCCCTGAGCGCAATAGAAAAATAAAACGATAAATAGGACTGTTTCAAATTGAAAAGCAAAGAAAACATTGATCAGAATGAAGAGGAACACTGTAGAATGGTGGAAAATCTTCATAAGCTATTTATCAAAGAATTAATATCTAATCAATTGCTAGTGATCCATTCCTCTAAATCCTAGATATTCAGAAGCTGAGATCTGAGGATAACGGTTTGAAGCCAGTCAGAAAAGGAAAGTTCTTTTTTTCTTCTTTCTTCTTTTTTTTTATTGTGAAAATACTATACAGAGGGGTTACAATTACATGGGCAAGATAATGTGTACATTTCTTATCAAGCATTGTAGCCTCCTCCTTTGTTTCCCCTTCCCATCCTCCCTCTGCCCCTTCACCCACTCCTCCCCACCTCCCCTACCCCCCCACCAAAGTTGTAAAGTTCGTTTTCCACATAACGACTTGTACATCTCATTGTTGCAATGGGTCCACCTGTATTCCTATTTAAACGATTTGTTTTTCCCCTTCCCCTCCACAAATTATACTGACATCAAATACAGTGAAAGCAGGGGTTATACTGTGGGGGAGGGACATACAAAGCAACAAAGAAATAATCTTATAAATGTGTTAGAAACAATCTTATGAAAGAAAAAAAAACATTTGAATACATATCTTAGGGTTCATTTCCCTAACATCACCTTATCTGACCTTTTCTGCTTGACTCAGACATATACTAGATATTGCAAATAAGGGAAACCATGGGACCTATGCTTCTTGGGGCCTGGCTTGCTTCACTTAATATAATTTTTTCCAAGTCTTAAGGAAAGTTCTTATATCTAATTATCCACCACTTTCAGAAAAAAGAAAGAAATCAGAAATGGAACTATGGCTCAAGTAGAATGCTTGCCTTGAGCAAAAAAGCTCAGGAATTGGCTCAGGCTCTGAGTTCAACCTCAGGACCAGAATACACACACACACACACACACACAAAATATCTATAATATTTAATTAATATCTACAATACATAAAGTTTTCCAAAAGTTAAGCACCAAAATAACAAATGATCCAAATAATAAATGGGTAATGAACAGAAAACTATCAAAATAAGAAGTGAAAATACCAAATTAATATATAAATAAATGTTCAATAGTCATAAAGCAAATGTGAATTAAAAGAACAGAGAGAATCCATTTTACCCCAGTCAGAATAGCTAAGGTAAAAAGAATAACAGGCTGGCTGCTGGTGACTCATGCCTGTAATCCTAGGTCCTCAGGAGGCTGAGATCTGAGGATTCCAGCTGAAAGCCAGCCCATGCAGGAAAGTCTGAGAGACTCATCTCCAATTAACCACCAGAAAACCCGAAGTGAAGCTGTGGCTCAATTGGTAGAGTGCTGGCCTTGAGCTGAAGAGCTGAGGGACAGTGCCCAGGTCCAGAGTTCAAGCCCCACGACCTACAAAATAAACAACAAAAAACGAATAACAAAAAATAATAACATAAACACTGTGGCTGTAAATAAATGTAGCTTCTGTAGACATTAATAGGGGGCTTCTTTAAAATACTGATTGAACTGTCATGTGATTGTACTGTATCATTTGTGTCCTTTTATTCAAAGTAATGTAAATTAACATACAGTTGTGATATCTGCTCACTTCTATTTTTGAAATACTATTCAGAAATTAAGGGCAAGGAAACAGCCAATCATGCAAGTATTTATATATTACAAACAATAACGCATGACAGCTTATCCCCATCAACTGAGCTGCCTAACATGCACATGTGAATCGATATTGTGTTTCTGAAATCTTTGCATTTTTAAATTTTGTGAATATGCTTATTTAAACTATATGTATTAAATACACAACAAAAATGGACTTACTGTATATGTATGGATGAAAATAACATAACAAGACCACTAAAAACTGCAAAAATAAATTGGGGATTTGTAAGTGGGAATAAGAAATTATAATAGAGTGGGTGAGTATGAAAAACTCCATTATTTTCACGTATACAAACATATCAGCATATTCATTACTTTGCAAGATTAATATGTACTAATTGAAACCAAGTACAGCCAAAAAATAACAAATGTGAGGTCTGTCTTTACCAAGACTCACCTCTTTCACTTAGTTAATGCAATGGTACTCATTTGAGGGTCCCATTCACCATTCTTAACACATGGTTTGGGATTTTGTAATTTCTGAAAGGTGCTAGATTCTCATTTCAGTACTATAAGGGACCTAATGCAACCTAGTTCTCACAGTCCTTAATAAGATGCAATTCCTCTGTTTTTCATGAACTAGTAGCCTTGAATTTTCAGTCTCTTCTACGCAACCATTCCTTCTGCCAATCTTTTTTAAGCTCTTTCTCCCTGCACATGCCATCTGCTCTGAAATCCTCTATCATCCTGAGTCACCCTACCATTCAAATGAAGAATACGTGTACAGTTCAAGGTTTCAGCTCACTTCTGACATCCAGGTCTTCAAGGGACTCTTTTTCACCCCGCCCAGAATGATATCATGTAATATGCAACCACTTTGTCTAGGTTACCGCTAGGTGGAGCTGTAGGGGGAGGAGCTAGTCCCAGCAGGCAGTGCGACGTGAGTAGGGCTTGTCTCCATGATCCAACGTTGAGCTGGGCCTCTCTCTGTGACGTATCAATAGGTCGCCACTGTCATCCAGCTGCTGAAAGCCTGGTGAGAGGATTTTGTTTATTCTTTGGGAGGAGGGCGGCGGAGGAGGAGGCGAAGGACTAAAGCGGGACTGGGAAGGTAGGGAAAGGCCGAATAAACTGGCAGGTGGGAGAGCTTAAACTGGTAGAGCGGGCGGCAGCCAAAGAGCTAGATGAGGCTGGCTGAGTGACTAGGCCTCAGCCGCCATGGCTGTTGAGTTCGGTGACCAGTTTAGTGGCTTCCGCCATAGTGAGGTGATTCACTTCATAAACAATGAAGTTCTTATGAATGGAGGTGGACCGGAGTTCTATGTAGCCTTTCGCTACCGGTCCTGGAAGGAGATAGAAGACCAGCTCCGGAAGATCGTGGTCGACCCTCAGGTGCCGCGCAGCCGCAAGAGGTCCTATGCCTGGAGCGGCTTGGCGTTGGGGGTGAGAGCGATCGTGAGGCAGCGGGATCAGCAGACGCGGCGGGTTCGCCGATTGCAGAAACAGGTAGAGGAGCGCAAGGTAGCATCTAAGGCTCTGGCGACAGAGCTGAGGAGGTTGCGGGCTGAGAGAGATGAGGCTGCTGCACAGCTTAGGTTTACGCAGGCTGCTGTCCAGCAGGCAATGGATGAGCGTGAAGTGCTTTGTGGAAGGCTACTCCAGGCTGAGAGGTCAGCAATGGAAGACTCAGATCCACTATTCCAGCGTCTTTTACGTGGACTGCGAGGCGAAAAGTATAGATGTATGTCGTGGGCCCTAGGTGAGGAAAACCAGTCAGAGTCATTGGACAAGGGAGCTCAGGGAAAGCTGTCTTTAAACACCCCAAAGCCAATGTCAGCTTCTCTGCTTCATGTATCAGAATCCTCAAGTCCTTGGAATCAGGCAATGCAACTCCATACACAAATGCCTGGTTCGCAACCATTTACATTGAATAAGCCTTTGCCAGGGGAATTTACATGCTCTACAACTCTACCATCCCCAACATCAGTGGAATCAGAAACAGCAGCAACTACATCCAGAGCAATGTTAGCAGTTGCATCCCCAAGGCCTACTTCACAGTCCTGCTTAACTAGCTCCTCAGTTGCTGTGTGGCCTCAGGAGGAAAAGGCTCCCTCGTGGGTAAAAAGTTGCCATGGAAAGGTTAACCCTCCTAACAACCAGCAAGACGAGTGTTACTTGGGAGAAAGCAGAACCCATAGCCTAGAAAAAATGTCAAAGAAGCCTCAGGAGACAGGCCAAAGACCCAGCCCCAAGGAAGATCCAGTGATGAATCAGGGGAGGGCTTCCCTGGGGACTGTGAAGAGTCGCAGTCCCAAAAAGAGTCCAGAGAGACACCAGGCAACTCCCCTGGGGAACAGTAAGAACCATGTTACCAAAAAACCTACGAAGAAACACCAGAGCCCTCGACTGAAGACCAAGCAAGTGAAAAAAAACCAACATCAGGAGAAGCTTGCTGCATGCAACCCGGCAGTAAATTGGCCTTGCTCCTGGTGTAAAACCATGAATCCCCCATGGCGCCCAGTCTGCTATAAATGCAAGAACATCTACTTGCCTGGTGAGAACGGAGGTGTTGACCTAGGACAAAAACACTGATTTCATGAAGGTAAGCAGTGAAAACCCACTAAAGTGAATCCAGTTTCTTAACATCCCTATGTCTTTATCTTTCCCTACCCTACTGCTGTCACTTATCCCACTACCTTCTGATCAGTGAATAACTTAGTTATTAGAAAATTTGCATCCAAAATTTTCTTAGACAAAATTAAGTGTTTTTCTATAATTGCCAGAAAAGTTGCAGGCACAATTTTCATAGGGAAATTAAATTATTTTATTATATCCCAGTTTCCAAATCAACCAATTTTTGAGGTAGACATGCATATATATATATATATATATATACATTACTCTAAAGAACTAATTTTAAGTATCACACTCATTCTTTTTTTTTAAATTTTTTGTGAAAATACCAGAGGGGTTACAATTACATGGGCAAGATAATGAGTGCATTTCTTATCAAGCATTGTTGCCTCCTCCTTTGTTTCCTCTTCCCATCCCTTCCCATCCTTCCCATCTTCCTCCCCGCTCCTGCCCTCCCAACCCCTCCCCCTCAAAGTTGTAAAGTTCGTTTTTTGACATAACGACTTGTACATCTCATTGTTGCAATGGGTCCACCTGTATCTCTATTTAAACCGTTTGTTTTTGCCCTTCCCCTCCACAAATTATACCAACATCAAATACAATGAAAGCAGGGATTATACTGTGGGGGAGGAACATACAAAGCAACAAAGAAATCATCTTATAAATATGTTAGAAACAATGCAAGAAAGCAAAAACATTTGAATACCTATCTTGGGGTTCATTTCACCTAACATCGACTTATCTGACCTTTTCTGCTTGTCTCAGGCATATACTAGTTATTGCAAATAAGGGAAACCATGGGACCTATGTTTCTTTGAGCCTGGCTTACTTCACTTAATATAATTTTTTCCAAGTCTTTCCATTTCCTAACAAATGGGGTAATGTCATTCTTTCTGATGGAGCACACACTCATTCTTTAAGTTTAGAATTTCTCCTAATTGCATTTAAATTTTGTAGGTGGTGGATTCTCCATGGCTGCAGTGACTGGATGACATCTTGAAGAAGCTCAAGTGATGAAGCCTTTCTTCCCTGATTGCTTTCTTAATTTTCTCTTCTTGAAAATACCATGTATTTGATTGTGGGCAGTCATGTTGAATTTGAAACACTTCTAGAAAATGTTATTGTCCTTTAAAAAACACTGCTGTGTTTCATGTGTGCTTCTTTTTTAGGTTTTTAAGTATTGTAGGTATCCTGTTTTTATATTTCAGCACTACCAGACTTGCTTATAGTTGAAGAAGCTAAATCTTTCCCATTAGAAGATCTCTCAAGAGGCATAAGAAATTACATCTTAATTCTGATGGACCTAAACCTCAGTGAGACCCTCTATTGCATGCAATAAGGAGAATGAGAAGTTAGGGCACTTATTAGGGGGACACTGAAAATCAAAATGGTTTAGTTAGAATTTAATTTGTATATATAGCAAATTAAACTTGTAATTAACTTGGGGGAGTTTGGAGAGCTATAGTAAATTCTATTACTGCAAATTTGTTTAATTTTAATACATTTGAAAAATAGTTATTAAATGCCTAGTGTTTATCAGGAGGTGGAACTGTACAGTATAAGCTGATGAGATCCTTATTAGTCAATTTGGTTAACTGACAGAAGAGAGCCTAACTTGGGGGCACATGTTATATATATTAGTAGTGTCTGCCGAAGATATAATATGACCCTTGGTAAAAGCAACTGAAATGACGCTCAAATTCATTTTTGTAGTTCAAGGAGCAGTGTGAAAGAGACTTTCATGAAAAGCTTTGAGTGACCAGACTGTTCTTTTCTTTGGCCCCAAGTGAACAAACAAACAGAGGTAAAGACCAGTAAACTAGTCTATGAAAGTATACACATGGCCTTTCTCATATCCTTTTCCTAATATCCTTGAGCATCACAGGTATCTTTCTGGCTGCCAAGTAGCTTGTATGAAAAAACAATGGATTGTTTGGAAGACAGAGAGCACTTGTAAGAATATTTGCTGCATAACTTAAATCCTCACCCCTGGGCTGCTCCTATTCCAGATCACTCCAGTTAGGAGAGAAGAACAAAATGGATCTAAGGACAAACTTCAGGAACCCTGTGCTATCTATGTATCCATGGTGCTTCACTTGGGAGGATTAATTGGCTTTAAAATATAATTGATCAGGGGTCAACAGTCTTCAAAATGCCCCTGGGCCCCTTCTCTTCAAATAAGTTATTTTCAGGCTGTGTTTTCCCTAAGGCAACTGCTGAAAGACAGGGAACCAGGTAGTGGTATTGGGGTAGAGTGGGAAGTTAGTTAGATATGCCTCCACTTCAAGCTAAAGGTGCCTTTGAGTTCCCTGTGAGATCTTGCCCAATGCATCAGCACCTACTCCTGTCCCAGTTTTTCTGAGCCTAAATAGTGATAAAGCTGGATGTAGATTTTTTGCATTGTGTATCTTGGAGTATATTTTTATGTGACATAGATTAAATCCTCACCTTCCCTCCATTCTCAAGGTAAAGGAAAGTCCAATCTAGTCCATTAATGAAGTGTCCCTCCTCTTCCCTGAATTAAAATGGGGGCTTCTATTACTGTAAAGTATCTTTATTGCATTGTGATTATTCATGCACTCTTTAACTATCTAAAACTACATAGAAACTTCAAGTTAGGTAATCTCTTTTGTTCCAGAGAGTGGCTGCCAATATTAGATTCCTTAATGCCAATACTCAGCCTTTCTCTATGATCCATGCAGCTATTTTCCTTAAATCTCTGACTTCTGCTTTGGTTTATAGCAGGAAGTGAGGGCTGGTCAGATCTTAGAAGCTGTATCCCACCTCTTTTTTTCTCTTTAAATCACTGTCTGCAAGCAAGTAATTCTGTCAAGATGCCCAGGATTAAAGCAAACCAAATATAAACTGGCAGCATAAACCCTTGAAAGAAAGTGGGAGAAGAGGCAAAGACTTAGGTACCTTCTTCCAATGAGTATAGTTGAATGAGAGGATAAGCCACAAAAAATAATAATCCTGTCAGAGCAGAAATTTTGCTATTCTCAGAGATGTGACTAAAAATGAATGCCTTAATGACCCAGAATAGTAGGCCAGAAAAGAAGGCTGGTGGAGGGAGGCAATTTTATGAAGGGAAAGGGAAGGTTATGTAATATTTTATGCATCCTAATGGCCCCTGTATATTTTCAAGTAATGGAGATTCACAGTTTTTTTTTTAACTGGATCTAAGTATAGTGGTGGCACAATAGAGAAGAAAGACTAGAAATGGTGATGAAGGAAGAGAAGACATCAGAATTGGCAGCAGCTACTACCAGATATGGTCTGTGAGAAAAGGCCTGGAACCGATGTCTTGAAGGTATTTATGAACTTGACAGTGACAAAGAGATATGGCATTTCTCTGAGGAAGGGAATACAAGGGAGGTGGGAAGAGGCCAGTTAGAGACTTTAAATAGTTCAGAGCAAGAGAAGAAAAATTCTGTACTGGAAAAACAGACAATTGTAACAATATTCTCCCTCCACCTATCCTTTCCTCCTTACCCATTCCTTTACTGTTTTTCTTTTAGTTTTTGTGGGGCTTGGACTCAGGGCCTGGGTGCTGTCCAGGAGCTTTTCTGCTCAAGACTAGCACTCTACCACTTTGAGCCACAGCTCCACTTCTGGTTTTGAGTAGTTAATTGGATATAAGAATTCCATGGGGACTTTTCTGCCTGGACTGACTTTAAACTACGATCCTCAGATCTCAGCCTCTTGAGTAGCTAGGATTTCAGGCCTGAGCCACCAGTGCCTGGCCCGTCCTTCACTTTTATCATACCCTCTACTGGAATCTAGGCAGGAAGATCATTGCCTTTAAATTTCAATTTCTGTTTCCACCCTTAATATATAATTTCTCATTACTCATCCATCACCACTAGCAAAAGCAGAACCAAGGGAATCATCTTGAATGTGGGACAGCTGCAGGCATCCATTTTGGGAGGTATAAGGTAGAAGAAAGCTTCCCTGGTAAGCAATAGGAGGCAGTAGCCTTGATGGCAAAAGGGATAATAAAGGTTTCAGCATTCCCTCAATTTCCTTATGATTGAGAAAATAGCACCTAATAAATACAGGGGACAAGAATGATGACTATGATTTTAAAAAGAGCACTTTGGCATGGCTGTTAGTTTATAGAGGGGAAAGGCTTTCTACAAAGTTACAAACTTTTCTTGGTTCAATGCTTTTCTACCTTTTCTATTTGTAGATACACGATATTTGCTTCTGAGCTATCTCCTTGCCTATGTCATAAGCTGTTTCACTAAGATGGATCACAGAGGTGTTAACAAAGAGCTGAATCTGAAACTGAGCTCATTCATTTGTGAAGAAGAAACTGGGAAAGAAATGCAGAAAGCCACACAAGAGAATACACAGACACAGAGCCAAAGCCTAAAGAAGGGTGAAGCTCAGGATTTGGAACCTCCTGGGACTCCTGTCCAGGTTGTATGTGAGGTGGATACCTCTCAGAAAAGAGACAAGGGCAGTCCCGATCTGATTCCACACACTCCAAAGTCAGATCTTCCCACATTTCCTATGACACCACCACGACCAGACAACAAAAGAAAGCTGCTGTTGTGTGATAACTTGTCTACTCCCAGAAAACAGAGGAACAAGCTAGCATTTTATGCAAGAGAAAATGTTCCTTCCTCAAGCTCTAAATATTTGAAGATCACAACTACTCCACTCAACAATGAGGTAACCTCAATGGATTTGGTGAATATAAATCCATTTACCCCACAGTCCTTCAGAAAACGATTACTTCAATCAACAAGCAAGAGGAAATACTGTAATCCTGAAGAAATTGAAGCAGAGAAAGACAAAAAAGAAAGGCTGCTTCCAATGAAAAGTATCCTACAACAAATCAACATGGCTTCTCGGTATGAAACAGAATTTTTTGAAATAGAAAAAATTGGAGTTGGGGCATTTGGTACAGTCTACAAGTGCATTAAGAAGTTGGATGGATGTGTTTATGCAATCAAGTGCTCCAAAAAAACTTTTTCAGATGTATCAAGTGAAAATTTGGATTTGCATGAAGTTTATGCTCATGCAGTTCTTGGGCATCACCCCAATGTTGTACGTTACTATTCCTCATGGACAGAAGGTGATTATGTGATCATTCAAAATGAATACTGCAATGGTGGGAGCTTGCAGGTTGCTGTATCTCAAAACACTAAGTCTGGTAGTCATTTCCAAGAATCAAACCTCAAAGATATACTCCATCAGATTTCTCTGGGGCTCAAGTACATCCACAGTGCTGGCATGGTGCACCTTGATATAAAGCCTAGTAACATCTTCATTTGTCATAACATGCAAAATGTTTCATTTGAAGGACCAGAAGAGGTTGAAAATGAAGATGATTGGTTTCTCTCTGCCAGTGTGATATATAAAATTGGTGACTTGGGCCATGTGACCTCAATAAGAAAACCCAAAGTAGAAGAAGGAGATAGTTGCTTTCTGGCTAATGAGATTTTACAAGAGAATTATGAACACCTTCCCAAAGCAGATATATTTGCTTTAGGATTAACAATTGCAGCAGCTGCTGGAGCATCATTACCTGCTGCTGGTGATGAGTGGTATCACATCCGCAAGGGTAACATTCCCTACATTCCTCAGGAACTCTCAGATGATTTTTGCAATTTGCTAAAGAAAATGATCCACACTGATCCACAGGAGAGACCATCTGCCACAGCTCTCTCCAGAAGTCAAGTTCTCTGGCCATTATTTGCTGAAACAGCGGAGCTCCAGCAGCAGCTCAACTTGGAAAAGTCTAAGATAGCCACACTAGAAAAGAAACTCAGAGAAGCGCAGCAGACACAGTTCCCCCAAGATGATTCTGAGGACTGGGGACCACAAAAGAACAAGAAGCAGAAAACATCTACTGGGGAGGAGGACTTTACTGGTGAGGAATCTTTCACATAAGAATTCATTTCACATTAGTCTTTTGCTGAACACATGCCTTTCAGAAATAGATACTGACCTCTTACAAAATGAAAATACCAACTTACTTTCACAAAAGTTTAAAAAATCCAAATTTAACATCTACATCAAAATTCCTAATGCTACTAAGGCTTCTTATAGCAATGATTCCAAGAAGAATAATGGGTAGCCATTTCTTTTTCATTTTTTTTTGGCATCCAATGACAACATTTCATTTTCACATTTTCTATAAGTAATGAGAAATAATGGTCCTCTGCTCTGAACTAAAAGAAGTAAAAGAAAACACCCTTTGGTTTGGCCTATGGACTAGGAAGTGGACATTGAATTCGTCACTAAGGAACTCACAACTCTTCCTATATATGCAAAGGAACAATATTTGTATTTGAGTTGAAGTAACAGCTTGCAAGAAAATGTGCCTGGATTTCAACAGTGCTTCAGAGATTTTATGGCACTATTCATAAAAGAATTCCCAGCCTCTTTGAGCAAGTGGTTCTACTAATGTGTTTTCTAAGAGGAGGCAATCTCTTTATCTATTCTGTTTGTTAAATAAATTACTCCATTATCATTTGAAGTGGTTAGAAATAAGACTATATATAACATGAATGTTCCTAATCTGGTTAGTAACTTGTGAAAGAAAAGCACTGGGGGTAAAGGGGGGTCAAGAGAAATTTGATGTGATTGTTTTTTTCTGAATCTATTTGTCTGAAGCCTCTTCTGGCTGATTCTAATTAGTTTGAAATTTCTGGATATCATCAGTTGTTCTTAATGCTAGCAGCATTTTGCTTAGTTTTCTGTGATTTAGCATATTTCATTTAAACCATTTTCTCTATTTTCAAGGAAAATATTTATAAATAAAGGTTTTCATGTTGTTCAAAACCAAAAAAGAAAACTATTTTCTGTGCCTCAAATACAAGAAATATTGGATCTTGGTCTAGAGTTAAAGCTTTATGTTCTGATGATGCCTCTCCTTTGATTTTAAAAAATGTAAGACAGCTGGGTGCCTGTGAGCTGGGCCTATAGCCCTAGTTATGAGGATGAGATATAATTTTCGATAGAAGTCAGCTAGGACAAGAATGTCGAGACTCTTACATCCAATTACTGCCAAAAAGCCAGAAGAAGAGTTGTGGCTCAAGTGGTAGAGCACTAGCCTTGAGGGAAAAGGGTTAGGGACAGTGCCCAGACCCTGAGTTCAAGCCTCAGCATGGCACTAAATAAATAAATGAATAAATAATCTAAGAGAGAACTGAGGAGATAGAAACACATTCTTACATAAAATCAGTTTTCTGATTATAAAAGTAGCTTAATTTTACTCAAGAAAAATTTGGAAATATAGAAAAGGGGAAAAGGGTTCAGCTATAATCTCTCCAGTTTCCACTATAAAACCTTTTAGGCATTTAGTTTTTGTATATACACACAGATATGGATGGTTATTTTAAACATCCTTTATATGGAATTTTATACAATGTTTAAATCTTATTTTTTTTGTGCTGGTCTTGGGGCTTTAACTCAGTTGGGTGCTGCCCTGAGCTCTTTTGCTCTAGTGCTCTACCATTTGAGCCACAGCTCCACTTCTGGCTTTATGGTAGGTCTCAGCCTCCTGAGTAGCTAAGATTACAGGTATGAACTACTGGTATCCAGCTAAAACCATGATGCTTGACAACCCTCAGCTAATCTGGGTTTCACTAAGTGGATAAAAATCCTTGGCCTAAGAGAAAATTAGAGGAAGCTGAGCATGTATGTTTACAGTGTCTCTTTCACAGGATACTTCTATCTGGCAGATGGCCTAATACCTAGTTGACCTATCTGAAGTTAGGGATTCCCCACATAGGAAACTTGTTACTACTAGTAGGTACTCTTGTGGTTTTTCTCTGACCTGTGCCTAGATTGTGCTGGCTTGGCTATATACCCATTGCAGCCCCAATTATGTGTTCTCCTTAATCTGGGGGAAAATCTGGCCTGGAGTGACCTTTAGTTCTTTCAAATACAAATAACTGACAAATGCAATATTCTATAGCAATAGGAAATTTTTGAAATGTTTTGTTGACAAACTAGGCAATAAGTCAGGAAGGCAGTCCTTTAATCACTAGGTTTCAGACTCCTGGATCCCATAAGACAGCTATGAAAGAGTTAAATGGATAGTTTTACAGGTACAAGGGGGTAGGGAGGGTGGGGAGAACACAGAAATACAACTAAAAGTGTATAAAATTGTGTGTGGGCCACTTTATATTTCTGGGCAAATGTCTGAATGAATGCAATGAGAAAAGTAGGGGTCTGAGGTTCACAGAGAGAACAGGTATCTCCAAGTTCTTTTGCATGACTGGCTTGAATTCTTTGGGTGTGGTGTTCCACTTCCAGACAGCAACAAATGCTGTGTTGTTTTCATTGCACACAGTTCTAATAATTGCTTTGTTTATATGATATGAAATGTCTCACATTTAAACAAATCACTTTTACTGGTCATTTGGGTTGTTTAAATTTTTTTTCTATCTTCAAATCTACCAGTCAAATATGAGAATTCTACGGAAGTAGACTAGAAGAAGGAGGTAGTGACTGACAGGGTCAAACTCAACAAAGGTGCAATAAATACTGTAATGACTATATCCCTTGGATTCTAGTTAGAAAACTTCTACTTCATTAGAAATATAGGTCCTTGACTTAGTACACTGACTAGAGAATGGGGAAGGTAATATTAGACCCAGCAAATATGATTATATTCAGTTTGGCTGAAATGACAAAATGAAGCTCAAGTATATGGCAGACAAAATATTGTATCAAAGGAGTCTTCTTTCTTGCTGGCTAATATTTGACTTCATAAGCTAAAGGGAATAATTTATTAAGGAGAAGTGGACCATGAACAAGGAAGATAGGCCCAGAAATCTAAGGAGGAGAGAACTGTGAAAAGAAAAGAAGGCAGGGTTGATATTGGACATAAAGAGGGTTGTGTCTCTTTCTGAGACTGGAGGAAAGAAAGTAAGGGTCAGTTTGCCTTAGATAGTTTTTAGGTAGTAAGAGTGGAAAGTTTAAGGTTAGTGTCAATAGTGAATTGGATTTTCACAATAAGGAAGGCAACTTTTAAGATTAAGTAACTGAGGGAATGAAGGTGAGATAATTAGAATTAATTATATAATTTGCATAACTTTATAATATTTTTTAAATAATGAGTTAACAAAGCACAAAGTAAGCCATTTAACAGACTATGACTATATTTGGGGTGCCCAACGGTTACATTCATTGGGAGCAGAAATCCTCCTTGGTATCTATTTATTTGTAAAGATATAGAAACATCCATTGGATTTGATCAAGTTGACCTTGTGACTGCATAATTGTTGACTTACATCAACTACTTTTTCATTTGCTTCCTTAAAGTAAGTCATGAAACAACTAATTAAAATAAAATCCAAGGTTCATGGCGCTGTAGCTCAAGCAGTAGAGAGCTCGCCTTGAGCTGAAGAGCACAGGGACACCGCCCAGGCCCAGAGTTCAAGCCCCATGACGACAAAAAAAAAAAAGAACTTAAAAGTATGGGACTTAAAAGATGTTCACATGCATTAAGAGTATAGATTTCAAAATAGTATAGATTTTAAAATGTCTTCATTACAAATGTTGAAATATTATATACAAATCTTGTATATACATTTTTCAGTTTTGAGGAGGGGAAGGGAAATAACCATATGCTCTAATAAGGATACAGGATGATGCATTGTAACAACGAGATGTACAAGACACTATGTTGAAAATGAACCTTACAACCTTTTTTGGGGGGAAAGGGGGAGGAAGGAGTTGGGGAGGTGTGGAGGAAAGGGATGGTAGGGAAAAAACAAAGGAGGAGGTAATAATGCTCCATAGGAAATGGGCTCATTACCTTACTCATGTAACTGTAACCCCTCTGTACAGTACCTTTACAATAAAAGATATATTAAAAATGATAAAAAAAATCCAAGGCTCAGTGTTAGATAGTTTTCATTGCTGTGACAAAATACCCGAGAACACCAAAGAAAAGAGGATTCATTTTGGTTCATGATTTCAGAGAATACAGTACAGGGTTGACTGCCTCCATTGATTTTAGCCTGTGATGAACCAGAGCATAGTGTTAGAAAGGTATGATTGAGCAGAGCAGCTTACTTCCTGGCAGGCAGAAGGAGGGTGAAATGAGAAGGGGCTAGAGCAAAGATTTATCTTCTAAGCATGTATGAATATCAGTGGAACACACCCAATTCAATCTAATGCTCCTAAATAACATTTTTCTTCTTGAATTTTAAGACAATAGTATCAAAGCTTTTGGAACTCTTATCTTGTATAGAAGGTAGATAGGGTTTGAATCATAACTCTGATGATAGCTGTGTCATATTAACCAAAGTTCCTATCCTTTGCATGTATATCCTCAGTAAATTTGGATGTTTTGAATATTAAGTGAAAGGATATTTAATACACAAAGCTGTATAGCATATAAAAGAGTTTATATACAATTTTCTCTAACAGTGAAACTGCAGTGATTGACATTAAATGTAACACTACCTGAATAATTATAACATAAAATATAGGCATATAAAATGTAATAATTTAAATTTTCTTACCAGTGAACAAAAAACAAAGCTCATGTTAATATTCAAACTTAGTTTTCAAAATCACTATTCATTTGGCTCTTAAGATCATAGTGCTTAGTCTTGAGCTCAGTTCTATCTAGGGCAATTAGCTTCATTCATTATCTCCATGGTTTAACCAATTAAGTGAGTCAGCTACAGATCAATTTATATATATATTCCATTTAATATTCTCTCTATATATAATTTAATATACTCAAAGCATTAAAGGATAAATCAACTCTTCACTTATTATAGTAATTTTATCTCTTGGCTCTCTCCATTTCATAAAAAAGAAAACATCTTTAATTTCTAAAGAAGAGAAAATGTAACTAACAACACATTAATTTGATTTTAGCAGCTAAAATTTCACTTGAATGTGCCACAATTTCCTGATAATTA